GTCCTCAATTTTACCATGAGATTCTTTTTCGTAGAAGAAAATTATTACACCATCTTTACTAATTTAATCTTTAATTTTTCTAAATTGTGGTGGTGAAAGCTATTATACCATCTCTGTTTACTATATATATTTTGCTAAGGGTAATTCATAGGCATCTGTGGCAATGCACATATGGTCTGATGTTTTTGGTGGTTGTGAATCTCTGGTTCATAATATTCGGACTTAATTTACTTAGGGTTAGGGTTTATGCAAGAAATACTATCTTTGAGATCTATGCTATTTTGGCCAAAAAAGAGGAGAAATGAATAAAAAAGGATTACACCCCACTTAAATTATCTGGTCCTAATTATGTGTCATGGAAACAGAAGAAATGGAGAGAAAGCAAGTCTTGGACTTACAGTACAAGTCATGGAAAGTCAGGAATTAGACACTATTTTCTGATAATTTGTAAAAGTTCTACACCTATATGAGAATATATACAAGAATTAGCCCCAAAAAATACAGATATGTTAATTGGGTTTAAGAGCTCTGTAACATTAAAGTGATAGGATTTTAAGCAGTTACTAATTAGGTTAGATTTGAACATTTCTTCTTTCAGAACTTCTGTAAGATTTCAGTAATATAAATATTAGTTCTGCTTGCAGGATTTCTATAATTAAGTTTTCAGTAAGAATTCATATTATTGCTTTCAGGATTTCTATAACATTTCAGTAATAACTATTAATGGAATATACTTGAACATGAAATTTGGATGCTAATCATCTTCATACACAAATTCCATCCTAAAGGATGCCCTAATCAATACTGTGATCACTATTTAACTTGTCATTTGCTTGTTTTCAATTTATTAATTAGACGTTAAAATGATTAAGGGAAATCGTATAAAATTTTCTATGGCTGCATCATAGCAAAAAATGTACTTGGAATTACATCCACATCATAATAATATTTTGTTCAATTAGCTAGTCATTAGTAAAAATGTGAAAATTGAGTCTTCTTGTGGTCTTTCTTGTTTCCCCTCTTCTGAATTAGCATATACGTACCAAAATGTTTGTTTCCATTTTTCGATCCCTTTGAATAATAGTTTTCATGGAGCAGTAAACATTATTGGAATCATGTGTATTATGTGATCTTAGAGATAGTTTAAGTGAGCTTTCTTCAGTCCACTCATGGAAGGGCAAAGGGTTTGAATTAGCTGCCGACTCATTCATTCAAACTCAGTAGAAATGGAGTGGATATTTCTACTGTGAATGTGTGAATGATGCGGGAGATAACTTCATTCTTTTCTTCTCTGTGCTTGGACTGAAGGGAGCTCCCTTTTACTGTCTTCTTTGTTGTATATATTGTTTACCTTGCCATTTTTTTGATGATGTATTTAGTGATCAGAGCTGTGGTTATCTCCGCACTTTTTTTGTTACATTCCTCAGGTGAAATAAGTTATGCCGATTTCTCTACTGATACTATACTTACAATTCTCTCCGTTAATTTCCATAATTTTCTACACCAAAATTTATGTTTATGCATTTTGAACGTGCTCGAGTTAAACTTAATTGGTCAAGGGTGCTATGTCTATTACAATGGATGCTGTGAAACTGTGTCACACCGTTGAAATTCAGTAACAAATTTGGGTACGTTTTTTGTTGTTTACCTATATTTTGGCTGCGGCTAGTAAGAAATAAGAGCAAGGGGCTGATCAACTCGTGAAATTAGTGACATGGAACTTTAAGGGAGAGTGAACAACCTCCTCCCTTCAAAACATTTCCATTGAATTGAACAAAATGATTGTGGGTTGTGGAGGGAAGAAAGAACTTTCCTGTCCCGACCATATTTTGCCTCTCTTTCTTACTCATCACTTGACTAGAGATTGTTATTTTTAGTAAAAAAAAAAATAGGAGAAGTTGCTAGAGCGAGGTGACGTATATCCCGCAGCATTGAAGTTTCTCTCCCGGAGCTGGAGGTAAAGAGTCAAAGACATATTACTAGAGAGAGGGTATGTGGATAAATCCCCGCTAAATCTGTAAGTTTTCTCTCCTACGGGAGGTACTTAGAGATTGTTGTTTCTAGTAAAACCTAAAGAACTAGAAACATGTTACTATACAGAACGTACAAGTCCAGCAGTGTCTACTTTAGCAAGTGAACCTGAACCCTCGCCAGGAGAGAGGGCTTTCCATTTGATGCTTACAATTTACATGTCCATGTTTATGCTGGGGAAATATGGAGGCTGTGGTTGGCTGTCTTTTTTGTTTTGGCAATGTTTGGCAACGCATAATAATTAGAAAGTAGGTTTTTATGGCATGCGTTTTGGCATCTTAAATCCCGCCTCATGTCTACGTCTGGTGGGGCTAAAACGCAGTCTCTCAGAATTGCAGAGGTTGGAACTTGGAGCTATATGCTAATACAGCACTTCATGCTTCATCGGCATTCGTGAGGTCTATATTTTATTGTATATATATATACCCTACAATCTCTTTTTAGTCTTTAATTATCAGCAGAAAGTTTGTTTCTTGAACATTATCTTGCACAAATTTGACTTCCCTTGGGCAAAAATCAAGAGGGAAAAATTCATGGCTTTCTCTAGGTCATTTTCATTCATCCCAAATTGGTAAATTACAATTTGGCATGTAGAAGTTTTTTATTTTTGGTGTGATTTTAATGAGTTATTTACGGGCATGTGTCAACTTGTGAGTTATTTAGGTGCATGTGTCAAGTTGTGAGTGTCAGAATACAATGGATTCTTACAGGTAACGAGTCAAGCAGTCTTATGAAGTTTAGTTGTGAGTAGGATTTTTCTAATTTGTTTGTAGCTGAAACCCTTTTTAAGGTGGTGCGTGTATATCATTTGTACGTGTTTGTATGAAGATCTGAAATGAATTAAAATAACCAGTTCATTGGTTGTCGATAATGGAAGTACACAAAAAAAGAAATTGAAAGTACAAGTGAAGTAGATTTTTAATTGTATTCATGGAGTAACGTGCATATGTTGTAGTAAAATTAATATCCTTTCCATATGGGGGTGTGTTTCCACATTGTCAGTTGCCCTATTTTATTACGTTGTTGATCTCATTCTAAGAAATCTGTACTAGTTAAAATTAAAGAGACTAAAATTTTAAACTAAATTTGTAAATCAAATGATGTGGTTATTAATTGTTGAATTATTATTTAAGTATTGATTGATATATATATTATTTATTGGTGATGTATAATTTATCTTCTTACCATAGCCGTTGCGTAATGCCTAGTGCATGAAGTAATCTACCAGACAACAACGGATATTTATGCTTTCTCGAGGCTTCTTTCTTGGAAGCCTAAGTGCCTAGTTCGACCAATTTCATTACCAATATGGGCAAGGAAGGACATTACTTGCATACACAAGGCATCTATCTCTCAATCCAATGAGAACGCTCTCATATGACTCGTATACAGTGTCTTTCTTACAACAACTGATCGATCTCCACGGCTAGGTTTGAAAGAAGTGAGGTTGGATGTGAGTGAACCCCTGTATTCATATATAATGAGAGTGGGAATTGTTGCCTCATCCCACTTCTTGTGTTTGCTTCCTCAATTTATGCTTGAAACTCTCATGGCGTTACGGGTTTTATCAGGTAAAGGTCATATTTATACTCGAATTGAAACGATGCATGAACAATTGTTGGACTGCAAAAGCTTTAACTGTTAGAAAATCAACCACAATGCAATAGTGCATGAAGTGAATTACTAGACAACTTGGAAACTTAAATGCCTGGTTCTACCTTTTTGGTTACCAAGATAGGCAAGGAAAGAATAGGCCACCTTACCAAATTTAAAAAGAAAAAGGAAAATAGTTCACACTCCTCAATGCTAAGAGAAACTGCTCTTGTAAGCTTGCAGCTTCTATATGATTGTGGAGATCGGTTGAATGAGTTTTCTTTGGGTAAGACTATCTCTGCGAGAACTGAAACAATGCATCAACTAGACTTCTGCAGCTTAAATTGTTTAGGGCGTGAGTAAAAATGTATCCGAACCGAACGATCCAATTAGAAACCTTCATGCATTGTGCTTTCACCCTACCACAACTACTTATCAAAGCTCTCCACAAAAGATGGATCAAGAACCAAAAACATTTCCTCAAACCCTAGGGGTCATAAAATAATCATTCACAACTTTTTAAACTGCTTCAGCCTATCATAATATTGAGTCATTGACATGTGAGGTGGTCCTCTCTTGTAAACCCTAGTCAGTGAAAACGATACGTACAGTAATGGTCCCCCCTCCCTGAGAGCTAAAGACTAAAATAGTTAGAGGTGGTTATGACCCTGCCAACATCGTATCATATGTTGACATGTTGATAGGTTGATCATAAATTTGAATAACTTAACATATCTGCATGTGTTGTTTAATGATTAATTTTCACTTAGTTATTTGTTATTGGATGGTTAAGTATCTGTTTAGAATGGTACACACGAGCCTAATTAAAATATACATACTATAAAGGATTGAAGGAAGGAGCCAGCCCATCAAGTGAAGTGGGTTTCACTAGGAATGAGTGCTTTTTGTCTGCTTTTCACTTGCCCTCTTTGACAACTTACGAGTCTTTTGATGCCGCATTGTGAGAATTCATCAGTGTTAGTGATTTCCACATTCATCTTTTGGCCTCTTGTACTTCACTTGTAAGTGAAGGAAAAATTCAATTTGGAGCTCGGACGTTTAAAAGAAATTTGAAGTCTTAGCAGATCTAGCTTAGTCAAGTTGGTTAGATTAGTGTTCTTTTCTCTATATGCAAATTCGAATCCCCTTTCTTATAGTTTAAATTAGATTAAAATATCACAATAATTAATAAAAAAAATTGAAGCCTAAAGGGAAGTCAGATATGCTACCAAACAGTTAATAAGGGATGGACACTGATGAACACAAATGAAGACATTACACATTAGAACATAAAACATAGTCTGAGGTGCCTACCAAAGCAGTTTAGGGACGACATAGATGAACAACTCAAAGGAGACATTACACATTAGAACATAAAACATAAAACCGTCTGTGAACTTAGGACAAGGCAAAGGACATTGAAAAGAGAAATACAAAACAAGTCCATTTGATCAACATGCATGGGATGAAAGTTCAAAGGAGCCCCTCCCTTAGCTCACTCAACTCACAGCTGAAGAGCCAAGTTAGGCTGCTGAGAGTCCACCTGCCAGGGCAGAAAAGATTCAGGAGTAGGCTCCTTTTGGTACCATTGAGTAGAAGCTCTTTCATGGCTACCAAATGCATTGTACAAGGGAGGAGGCTTCATAATTCCCCGAGCCGCCAGCGACACCTCCCCTTGTTCTCTCCTCATATACATGCCACCCTTTGCCATTGCACTATGATCCTCACCAAGCTTCAGTTTCATGCTCGGAAAGCTACTCATTTCTTGCACACCTTGCGCCGCATTGGGATGAGGCTTGAGCTGACCTGCCTGTGCAGGGTTAGCTATATAGTTATTCATTTGAGGAAGCTGACCTGCACGAAAAGAGTTAGCTGCATAGTTTCTATTGAGTTGCGTGTCGGAACCATTGAAGCAAGTTGTTGCCTGGATCAAACTCGACAGCTCAGGAGCGGGTGAAGGCCTCAGATAGGTGTTAGTTTTCGACGTGATCTCTTGCAGCCTCGACTGATTTGATGCAGTCCTAGACATCGGAGCTTGCGGAAGCTGCTGCAGCAGGTTTCCTACATTGTTACGTTCTGCTAGCATATCCACAGTCCTAAACTTTATGCTTTTTGTCCCAGGACCACCCAAATCTCTAACAACGCAAATGTGCGACCCCAACTGAACGTTTCCGTTCTGATATTGATGAGGCCTGCCTTCAATGTTGCTCCCGTGAAGTCTTATGCCATTGGGAAGACTGGTGAAGTCCATGGTTTTGTTTATGTCAATAGCCATCCGTTTCGGGAAAGTTTTGTCAGAAGTATCTTGTTCCTCGGGTGCTTTCCCTTTCGGGTCAATGACATTACCCTCCATGCCTAATCTGGATGTGTCGGCTGCATTCATCTTTCCCTTGTAAGCACCCTCATTGATGCATACACTGGCTCTAACCGGGGCATATCCTTGTGCAGAAGCATCGCCATGGAAATAAGAAGCATTCACATCCCTTGGCAAGTTATCCAGGCAATTATGTTGCATATGAGCCATTTGAGAACTATTAACACCGATAGGATGACCAAGTGCTGGTGATGCAGATAGGGCGAAAGCTGGATAATTTTGGTTCTGAATTGGAGGGGTTGCCTGGGGCTGGCAATGCTGAGCTGCAAGTAGACTTTCTAATTTCTTCTTAGCAACCATTTGAGCTGTTGGCCCCAAATTTTTAATGAACCATATGAGACTTTCTTTGTATCCGAAACCAGCATCAATCTACATTGTCATGAAGAAGCAACGAAGTTATATATTTAATTATTTATACTTACACAACAAGTTTGCCGAAACCAGTAAATAATCTCAAAGTTAAAACATTTTTCAAACACTTCCATAAAGTTCTATGAGCACCATATGAAACAGGCAGGGTGTCGCAGTCTCCGGTCTTGGAACAAATTGCAAGCCAAGTAAGTCCTTTTCTCTTTTCATATGAAAACATATCGGTGCAGACGTTACGAAAAATCTTGTGTATAAAAAACTAACATGCTGTGCTTTCTTATGGAGGTGAGGTTATATCATAGTAATTTACATGGGCAAGTAATTTGCTGGGGGCGTTGTAGACAGCTGAGATTAAAGATTCATTCTCATTGGAAGGCGTACAATAACTGTAACGGCTCTGCACTTCGGCTAAATTTGAGCCCCTACCATTTCTCATTCCTGTTCAAAGCAAGGGAAAGGCAAACCAGGTTAGCTTCCTTTTCCATCCATAAAAATGCATGAAGGTAGAAAAATTCTTCGAATTCCGCTAGTTATCTTCTAATCAACAGTCTCTAAGCCATTGCAATAATTACCAGGATTTGGATCAGCTTGTTTTTCTCTTCTGAGAGATGAGCCACACAAGCGCTGTGGTTTGCCAGTTGGTTCAAAAAACTTTGGCTTCCCAGTTGGTTCAAGAAACTTTGAGTGTATATCTCCACCATTCCCATCAGGGCAGAGTATTTCATGGAAGTAATATTTTAACAGAAAACGCCTTCGATCATATCTCAGAGTTCTGAAAAGTTCGTTGGCAAGATCTTTTATACCTTGAGCCTGGTAAGAAAACTAAGATTTTCATGGTAGTTTATATATATAAAAACAAAAACCATGAAAAGGAAAATTATATAAATTAGCCTACCTCTTGGTAATATATGGTGGCTTTTCCGTTGAAGTGAATTGCATTTTTGGGTATCAGCAGCACATCACGCTGTTAATTCAAAGAAAAAAAAGTTCATAATTTCGTCAATTACACATGCCACTCGGTGCAATTCAAAACATAAAATGATGCGGTAATTTTTTCCGGTTTCTGATCGACGCCGGATACAAAGGAGAGTAGAAGATTGCAAGAAAGAAGAAGAAGAAGAAGAAAGAATAGGGACAGGAGGAAGAGCGTTTGTTTCGGCGCAAACCTTGAATTGTTGCAGGGTTGCATACATTTCTGCATGAAGTTTATCTCTAAGGGTGCCAAAATCCATTGGCTTTTTTATGGTTGTGTAATAGGTTATTACCTTGGAAACCAAGAAACATATCACTGTTATCTGATTTGAAAGATGAAACAAATGTGAGAAAAATTTGGCAACACGTATAGAGCTAACCTTTTTAGGGTCAACAGGCTGAGCAAATACATCAAGTGTATCCCTCCTATGTAAAGCAGACACATTAGGTTAAAAAACCATGCCATACGTGCTTAAACAATCCACGTCCTTGAGTAATTTTCCAACTAGTAATTCAAGCATTCCAGAAGAAAGAAAACAATGTGCACACACCTTTGTAACGTATTAAGGATGTACTCGCATACTTGTTTCACCGCCACTGGCGTAGATAACAGTTGATCTGCAACGTGAACAATAACTACGTTACTGCATTCGGAAATCTTGAACTAAACAAAATCTATGTTAGAAATAAGAATCTCACTGATCTTGCTCGCGTCGACATCATGTATTCGGTCTTCAAAAACTTGCATGCAACGGCAAATGAGAAGGGAAGGATTGCTGAGCCGCAACTTTTGGAAAGGACCCTGCCGCTGAAATAAGTATCCAAGATAAACTAGAGTTCCAATTTATGCATGCACATATATAAGTCAGTTCTTCACTTAAGCGAACATTGTTTATTTATTAGAGAACGAACTATCCATATTGTATCGTTATGGTGTCGATATCATTGTCAACAAGTACCGATGTGTTACTGATACACTACAGAGAATTTATGTCAATACATAATGTAAGAGTAAGGCAGGGACAGAACGACCTGTTGAGAAGATAGAACTACATCTTCAAGTTTTTTGCGCTTTCGGCCCCTCTTGGAACCAGAAGCTGCTGCTTTTGCTGCAACAGGTGTCTTACCGTTCTCGCTACCGACATTAGTTTTGGATTTGGGGATTTCTTTGTTCTTCTTAGCCTCCTTCAATGCCGATATTCGGGCACTCTTCCTTCTCCCTTCAACTAGTTCACTTCCCCCCATATTTCCATAGCTGGATTGTGCCATATACATTTTAATTTCAATCCATGTTTGTAATGTAGAAAATGCGCACAAAAAGCCGGTTACAAACTTTTAGTCAAAACTAGAACCAGAGGCATACTAAACCTACAATAATGTCGGACATAAACCATGATTTAGTGTTCTTGAGTTTCATTTTTTATTAAAAGTTTGTAATCAGTTTTTGTATGTAATTCGCTTCTAATTTTCTGTACTATTTAGATATCAGCTTTTATAAGAAATTCAAGAACATGAAAACATTTTTTTATTTTATTTATAAATGATAGTGTTAATAGGTTAATAATTTAACTGCTAAAGGGGGAGGAAAACAACAAATGAATAGTTTGGTAATTCGGTAAATGCAAAATACCAATTCATTTGTAACGGATGCCCCACGTCAGCATCATCGCCAAAATATTTTACAGCTCATCACTGATGACGTCACTTTCTTTGCTAGTTTTACCACAAAGAGAAGGTTTTGGCAAGGTGAAAATATTTCTACTTTTTTCAAACAACAATGGTTTGAAACAAATTTCCTTCTGATGAAAAGTAGAACTAGAACTTTTCACCAAGATGATTTATTGCAAAAAGCATTTTTGTCCCTGTTTGACGTACATTTAGATTACACAAGCATGTTACAAGTACTTTTCAGATTTTAATTAAATTTCAACGTACTCCTAGCAAAAGTGCTTAGATATAAACGTGATTTTTGAAGCACCACCTAAACAAAGAGATAAGGTTTGCAAGGTAAATTTTTTTTTTTCTTTTCTTTTCTGTCAACAATAACGGCCTGAAACATATTTCCTTATGATAAAAAGTAGAACATGAAATTTTTGCCCCGATAATTTATTGAAATAACCGCAACTCTTGTTTTCTAAAGATATCTGTCTAGAAGTGCTTTCAAAAAGGCTAAAAATGCCGTGAAATAGCCAAAAAAACGCTATTTGGCAACTTTTGACAGAAAAAATAAACAGTGTTTCTAGTTTATTAAAAGCATTTTCAAAGAACATTTAAGACTTTAATTCAAATTTGAATAGCAAAAACGCTTGTTTGCATAAGTGCTTCCTGAAGAAGCATTCCTGCTGGCTTTTCCCACATCCTATTTTGATTTCCTCAATTCAATACTCAATTTCAAATTCCCACATTGAGGATCCAGTGTTAATATGTACATGCAAAAGGAGAGGAGAATAGGAAAGAATGCTACATAGCCAAATGGTAGTCTTCCTTCCCTCTTTTTCCTTTTGCAGCACAAGTAAATTTTTGTACTTTCAAAATTTGAAGCAAGGATGGTTATAAAGGATACAGGCAAATGAAAAATTACTGTAAACCAAATAAGAAAAATAACACGGGACGGGAAAGCCCCGCCAACCGGACCTTAGAAGCTTGAAACAAGGATGTTACAAAAAAAACCCTGTAAAAATGCAGCTATGTACAGATTCTACATAGAAGGAAAGGTAGATTGGAGCAAAGAGAAGAGAACAAACCTTATGAGAGAGCCAATGCAGCAGTTGAGGTAAAAGCAAATGGGAAAGTGCAGGTAAAATTACCAAATGAACAGTCACAACCCTATAACTCTTTCAAAACTGGCAAATTCTCATCACATAACATGCATTTAAGTCACACTCTCAGACTCAAGTGATCAAGGACTTCTCTAGAGATAAGTTCATACACCGGGCACTTTTGTCCATGCTCTGGGTAGGTGTCCAAGTAAGCGTTACATGCAACGATTATTTTGACAACTGTGCGATGAACAAACTCGACTTCTACAAGTGCCAGTAACTTCCTAATCTGTTCAACATGCAATTGTTACGCCAGATTTGGCATAACGCTAATACGTTACGCAATGTTGCTATCTATACGACAAAAGAATAACGTAAGCAAATTTACCTTTCACTCCACAAACACAATAAAGATCCATAAATTCACAAAATGCAAGGCACAATTTGCGCAAAAAAGAAGATACATGTGTAAACACAAATTGACAAAATTTCACACTGATTTACATCTTGTGCATGGATTGATAGAACTAAAAGCACAAAGCCACAAAATTCTACAGTCCTTCCTAAAATGATGTATAAAAGTGAACTGAATTCAATCCTAAGCAGCAAGGATATAGTTAAGAAGCTACCTCAGGTATCAGTTAGATAATTTACACAAAATTTCTTCCGATGTTCATAGGCTGCTACGGTAACACAGTGCATGCTTCTCAAAGCTAAACTGGCTTCTGTACAATTTATCAGAAGGAACCAAGCAGCACTGCCTACCTTATCATAGAAGCATGGGCTTGAAACTTAGTCAAGTGAAGATCATAGAAGAATTGTATGGAGAAATCCACATGCCATTTATCAATCTTTCAAGTGCACGCGAGAGCATTGCTTAAACCCAAGTGCATCCTCATGTATACCAATTCAATATATCTATAAGTTGATTATCCAAGGCAGCTAATAAAGTACAGCAAGACTGACAGAAAAACAGCTTCTTAAGCCACTCTTTCTTATTTTGGGAGGGAGAGGGGTGGAGGAATAGGAACAAGGTCAAGCCCCCAATTTAACGGTGGAATCAAGCGCATCAATTGTGTTATTTTGCTGTCCCCAGAGCTGTGCATATCTTCCTGCCTTAGACAAGAGAACATCATGGGGTCCCTGCTCTACTACTTTCCCGTTTTCCAGAACTATTATCTGAGATTTGATTCGAAAAGAGAGGAATAAGATAAAAGGAATATGAAAAGTTAAAGGAACTGTAGGACAGAGGGTAGTCCAACAAAGGTTTTGATAACAAAACATTTATGCCTCATTTGGTGTCTGGGATTGGGCAACTCACTAGATTCAATGCATGTTGAATGAAGTGGAAAGCATGAGATGGATTAATTGTGAAGAAAACTTTTCCCTCCTAATCCATCTTCTACCTACACTTGGACAAACTATTCAACTGAATATCTACTTTTTCATTCAACATTCATTGAACTAGCGAGTTATCCAATGCAAGCCAAGTGCAGCCATCAAACAAGGAGTTCAATAGTTTAAAAGGTATGACAAAACTGCAACTCACACACTTTCATGCCCACGAACCCAACTTAAGAATTACAAAGTCTTAGATGTTAAGGTGAAAAAGATTTAAAAATGCAGGAGAATCCACACACAGGTGGAAGAATGCTTACCTCATCGCACTGCATTGCAGTGGTTAGCCTATGGGCAATGAAAATTGATGTTCGATTAGTTGCCAAGGACTTCAATGCAGTTAATATTTCTGCTTCTGTGGTACTATCTAGTGCACTTGTAGCTTCATCACATAAGCTGTGGATATCAAATGAAAAGAACATCATAAAATAATTACTTTCTCCTTAAAGGAGATTAAAGCATGAATAAAAAGAAAAAAAATATGGAAAAAGAAGAGAATGGTTACAGAATTGGAGGCGCTTTCAAGAATGCACGAGCCAGTGCCACACGCTGTTTCTCACCACCACTTAACTGCACAGAATTATTATCAATTTTTTCAGAATTCAATAGTTCCACGAAGGATTAACAAACAGTCAACATTAAAAAGATTACATTAAACTCATGTAGTACCCTAACCCAACCTAGCCCTCAGAGGGGGATGTTTATATCATGACTACAGCAAACAAATTAATTGGTGGACAGTATCAGTACTCTCACCTTAAGCCCTCGTTCCCCTACAACAGTAGAGTACCTGTCAGGGAACTTCATGATAGTGTCATGTATTGCTGCGCGTCGAGCGGCATCATACACCTTATCAAAAATATTTATTTAGGCCAAGAAAATAGCACAGTAGATTAAATAATGCACAATAAGCTTTTCAAAGAATAAAACTAAAAGAGATACTCATCCATCTTATACCTCTTCTTTTGTTGCCGAAAGATTACCATAATGAATGTTGTGAAATATCGTATCATTGAAAAGTACCTGCCAATGAACCACAAGATATTTCCTTATTAGTCTGTTACTACTTAAGACCAGCAAGATCTTGCACAGCCACCTCAGAGTTTGCCATAGTACCAACTAAAACCAGAAACAAAACAAAATTGAAGTTGCTTATTTGGACTTACTGTATCTTGGGGCACAACACCAATAGACTTCCGTACACTCTCAAGTGTCACATCGCGAATATCTTGACCATCTATCTTTATCTGTCAATGACAAACTTTTTATGAGAATGGGAAGACTGTCCATTTGACGTGAAATGCAATTTATTAAAACCTCTTAATCAACCCTTGTTTGGTCATCTCTAACTCAAGTCATAATTCAATCCAATTCCTTGTTTAGTTACAAAGCTTGTTATTTTCAGGGAATATTTTTGTTCTTCCTTTTAATAATTCATCTTTAATCATCCCTAGGTGGTGATAACCAAGCTGTTTCCTGTTACCTAGCAGATTAAAAAGTTAAAACAGCTTAAAATATGTTTCGAGCTGATGAGAAGATTGATGGCAAGTTCTTAAAGTACTATTATCATCATAAAACTTTGTCTAAATGATTAGAAATTGCAAACAGCATAAAAACTTTCAGCAATGACAATAAGCAAGGCAAAACCTAACAAGTGACGACCACTCACGACTTGAGCCATCAGGATCAGACTCGAACACTAAGATAACACTAACATGCTTTGTAAATAAGGCCCATATTGTACCAATAGGAAACAATAACAGAAAACAGAATTAGTTCGCTTACCCTTCCAGAATGGGTGTCAAAGAACCTGAAGAGCAATCTGAGAATGGTGGACTTGCCTGCAGGCAAAATGCAAATTCAATACATTCATAAATCCATGCATATTGAGAAAATAAACATACGCTATATCATGCAATAATACAAAAAATAAAAGAAATAACTATGCATGGGCATCACTTGCTTATCCTAGTAACCGCTGGGCTTACATCAAGCAATGTGAGCAGAACTATGGTAGAACCATGTCACCAAAGGAAGCACACAAACCATAAACGTATAGTATTTCATGTCGAACATTAAATTATCGATGAGGAAAGGAACATTGTATCAAGAGACGGTCCCCTTACCACTTCCGCTGGTTCCAACGATAGCCACACTCTTTCCAGCAGGTACAACAAATGATATCCCATCAAGAATCTTTCTTTCTGTCAGGTAACTGCATCGATGGAAAATAGGAAAATATAGTGCATCAGCAATGGATCATACAAACAATACACTTATAATAATATCACATGCAAATCTGGGACATAAAGATCAAGTCTATCGTCCAAGAAACCCTTTACATCATCATTCTAAGTTGCTAACGATGTTGAGAAATGCCGACTCAGAGGGAAGGCAAGCAAAGCCTTCACTTGCACCCAATTTAAGCCTTCTTCTGAGATCCAGTTCTTTTAAACACCCAAAATTATAAAAGAAACAAAGTCCTTGAACTCTCAGCCTTTAAATATTAAAAATCAATGATCTTGAAATGCTCTATTAATAATAGAAGGATAGAAAGAGAAGCATACACCACCTGAAGTGTACATTGTCAAACTGAACGCTCCCCCCACGTAACTCCAGAGGCTTTGCATCAGCTTTGTCACCAATTTCAGCCTTTACCTACAGTAGTAATGAAAACAAAAGTACAAGTTGAAACAAGAAAGCGTATTAGAAAGTGAAAAATTGCCAACTCACCAACGTACAGGATAACAAATATTGAAATAACTTGAATGGCAAACAAAATCTATCTCATCCATATAAAAGTTATAAGTACAAAGTACAAACTCACAAGTAAAAGAATAAGAGTGTTATATATATTTCCTTCTTGTTTCTTAACCAACAAGGCTTGAAAATAGAAAGAGCATAGGTTTTGTCCATTATAAGATAGATTTTTTTTATAGTGAACAAGTGAATAAAAAATAATCAAGAGAAACACTCTATACATCAACTGAAAGCCAACTTGCAAGTAAACTGTGAAGTTCCTTCATTTACCTCCAGTAACTGAAACATAGATTTCATGTCAACCAGACTCTGTATAGTCTCACGATAAACACTACCAAGAAAATTGAGTGGAAGCGAGAGCTGGAATAGAAGTCCATTCACCATGACCTGTGTATTGATTCACCCATAATTTGAATGACCATTAGAGAATCTCTTCGAAATACATAAAAATTCAAAAACTAAGTCAGTATCTAAAGGAAAATTACCAAATCACCAACTGTCATATTGCCACTCATAATACCATTTGAACACAACACCATAGCAGTTGACAGAGCCGTGCTAAATATAATATTTTGGCCGAAGTTCAAAAAAGCAAGACTGCGTTGTGTTTTTAAAGCAGCATCCTCATACCCTGAAAGATAGAATAACGAAAAGCAACAGAAGAAGCATTAAGAAACCATGAAAATAACATTTTGGGGTACATAAGTGCTCAATTTAAAACTAAGGAAACTACTATTATTAGTGAAAGCAAAATATTTCAGGGTGGAACAACAAGTCCAATACCGTGGGAAGAAATAACCCACAAAGAACACTCAATAAAGTAAAATAAGAGTCGGCTTGGTGGAATGCCACCTGAGATTACCATGCAAACCCATAAATGCATGAAACAGAAGGAAGCATCAATGTTGGTTCATGAAAGAATTTTCTTGACCAGTAAGCAAGCAGTGCATATGTCGCAATAAATACATGTTTATGCATAACTTCAAAATAATTTGACATTTTATGACTTTAAGTTTATCAGAAAGACTAACAGCAGCTTTTACATTTTGTGTACCATGAACTAGTGGGTATAATTCATATTAGTTTCCAGACCAATGCTAATTCAGGATTGATAACCATGCAACATACTACGTACTATGATACTATAAAAAAGAAAAAAACTTACTCTTTAAGTACTCATCATATTTAGTGGCTTCATAAGTTTCGTTATTGAAATATTTCACAGTCTGTTGAAAGAAAATAGCATCAGATGATGAAATAACAGAAAAATAACTTGAAAAGATAAGAGACTTGACGGCATCTTGTGCATAAAGTGAGTAGAAGCCATACAAAGTACTTCACGTTACCTCATAATTTATAAGTGAATCGATTGCCCTTGTACTAGCATCATTATCAGCCTTATTCATGGCCTTCCTAAACTTAGTCCTCCACTGTAAAGGCAAGAAAATCATTAACGAAAAGTTCATAAACCAAAAGCTATCAGCATATTAATAGACAGGATAAGATGATGAAATGGTTCAAGATATTTCTAGACATATCTCAATACAGCATAATATGCATGTATGAAGAAAAATGTACATGCCAATACAGATCACTAATAAAAGAAAAAAGGTGTCACCTACAAGGAATAGAAATTAGAGCATCCCCAAGGGGACTCTTCATATTCAGCTAAAATTACAAAAAATTCATTTTCGCTAGCCACTTTTGAATGTTACTCCAACCCTGCTACCTACTTTAAGTAGTCATGAATGTCTCTAAATTTTTTCCTCTCTCAAGAATATTCAAAATGAAGAAGTTTGCTCGCTAATTATATTAAAATATTAGATAGTAAGTCACTAGGAATCACTTTCTCTCCCTCATATGTATGAGCTCGTAGAGGTTGAGTAACTTTTAGGGACAAAATAGCTAGTAGTATGATGTGGGCATCTTTTTTGAAATTTCTCTACATTTTAGCTGTGACACTTTCATTAGCTAGTCCCTTGCAGATGCTCTAACAAACAGGAAAAAAGTGCACAATTCATTCCACAAACTGTAAGCAAACAATTGACAAGAGACACAATACCTGTGTGACAGTCAATGTAAATGCGACATATGCAGCAACTGATAGTGAAGTTATCCACGCAAAAGGTGCTCCAAATTTGTAAGCCAGTATACCTGAAACCATAGATATCTGGAAAGGACCGAAAGGTACATGTCAAATCAGTTGAATTTGTTTAGAAACTCAGTAATGTAGTTCTGTTATATATACGAAGTGAGATGGAACATCAACCTTCGCACGAATAACAGCACAACGTTACTAAGTCCAGTGTATACATGTCAACAAGCTTGACAATAACCAAAGGTACAGATCATACCTCTAAGATGGTGGGTACAACATTGAACACCATAGACGATAGAATAAAATTTATTGCACGGCTACCACGGTCAATTATTCTATTTAGTCCACCGGTTTCTCGACTGAAATTAAGTAGACAAGGGATAACACAATTGTCAGCATGCAACTAATAGCTCAAAATATCAACTTTATTAAAAAGGCTGTTATTACAAACTAAAGCACGATATCTCCCCTAAGGACAACTAAATTCTCAGCCCTCCTCTACAACTTATGGATACATTCTAAACAAACATGGAGAGTAATAGATATAGATACCTAAGATGATATTGAAGATCAAGGTCGTGCAAATGAGAGAAGACCTGCAAAATGTTGAAATTGCATTTGGCAAGGAAGACTTTAGGATATAAAGAATCTAATTTCTTAGAGTAATCCAAGCATGCTATATATGTAACCAATAAAGGAAACATGTTGGGAATGCTACTCTCATACCTTCCTAGATACTGATCGGATTGTTCGCAGCGCAACCTTAGAAAACACGGCAGTCCGCAATTCTACAGCCATATAATTATGCAAAGTTTTACATATAAACAACAACCCCAGTTCCATAAAAACATGTCAGTTAAGCATGAATATCCAAAGACAATGGTATGAGCAAAGCAATTACTTTATGCGTAGTAGTACCGTTGAAAGCAGAAGCGCAAGTACGTGCAATCCCATATCCAATCAAAACCGAAGCCGGGGTTACAAAAAGAGCCAACTGGGTCGAATTGGCGGCGGTGAAAGAAGCCAGAGCAGTGGCATTGCCAGTGGCCGAGCTCAACCAATCAACGGCAAGCTTGAAAAGGAAAGGCACCTGCACATTGAGTACCTTCGCGCCAACCAAGAACCCCAAAGCAGCAATGACCCTGATGCGGAATTCATAGTTATCTTTCATCCACAAGTAACTGGCGAGAGTTCGGAAAATCTGCACGTCCGTAATCTGTTCGACGGAATTCCCCTTAGACACTGTAGGAGTCGGGTTGTTCTTGTCCGGGGATGTGGAGAACAACGACCGCCCGTCCGGCTGAGAAGGGGCGGACGTGCCATCGGCGATGAAGGCGTTAACGCGGAAAGGGAGTATTGATGCTCTACGGACGGTGTTCGAAGTCAAAGGCTTTGGGAGACGAATGGGCCTGCCGTGGAAGGCGGTTCTGGTGGTGAAGGCGTTTGATTGGAAGCTCCAGTGGGGTTTGAGGTGGAGGAGATTCCCGCCGGCTCTGTGCCACTTCGACGCGGTGGGACCCAGCATCTTCTAGTTGTTGGCTGTTGCTTGGACCCAGCCAGCAAGCTTAGCTCAAAGGGAAAATCTGGAAACCCTAAATTGGGAAGGCTTTATGGAGGGAGGGAAGGATGAATCAGGACAGAGAAGAAGGGAAGGGGGGAGAAAGTCAAGGTTGATTCTTTGATGATTTTCAGAGCATAACCATTGTTGGTCTTCCAAAGTTCAAAGCTTTCACTTTGTAGGAGAATATTGGGTTCTTTCAGCGTATGGTAAGGTTGCTGGGCCAAGGAGAGGGGCATCAGCCCCATGGCTAGGGGGAGTCCACGTGTTATAAAGCGTCAGCAAATTAGAATCGTTTGATAATCATTCTGAATAATTGAATTTGTATTTAATTGTTGATTCAGCATGTTTCGTGGTTTAAATTTATTTTACGCTATTGGTCTCAAGTTCAAATAAAAGGACAAGGAGTGTATGTCATGTAGTCGACAACTGACATTTTGTTTTTCACGTCAAATCTTTATGATTTATTTCACCATAATCATAATGTTTTTCATTCATTAAGAGTATTTTGCATGTGATTATAATGATATGCTATTTTCGGTATTGTAAATTTGTTTATGGTAGAATCTGAACTTCACCGTATAATGTTACCCTAGTTGACCGTGAGAACGTCGATGAAATGGTTCACATTATGAGACATTGAGATTCAACAAATTAATAATTTTAAAGTGAAACGTGGATGGAATGGATCTCCATTGTGAAGTCCATGAAACCAAGAATTTAGTGTATGTTATGTCAAGCGCGCATGAACATCCTGATGTAGCTCCTACTTTTTAATAATTTAAAGATGAAAGTTCTACTCAACATTCCTAACATAATTTCAAAATACATTCCAAAACGTTCAAATTTTAACTTGGTGGAATCGATATGTAGTGTGAGATTCACCAACTCGATAGTTTATGGTAGCTTGCACCCAAAGAGCATAAACGATTGTCCTTAACGTAGCTCTTACGTTCTAGAATTAGAAAAATATAAGTTCTACTTAAGATATCCTTAGAATTTCACAATACATTTTACAATGTTTAACTTTTAATGTTGATAGAAGGCGTATGCAATGTGAGATTCACCAAATTGACAATGTATAGTAATTACGTCTCATATCCATGCACGACTATCCTTAACATAACTTTTACTTTCTATAATTAAAAAAAATTAAAGTTTTACTCAACATATCCTTAATATAATTCCAAAATATATTTTAAAATGTTTAAGGACTTGATTGGAAATACTTTTAAAATGACTAAAAGCGATTTTGATGAAAATGTTTTTAACCAGTCATTAGTAAAAACGTAAGTGAATCGTGAAAACCATTAAGTGTTTCTTAAAAAAAGTACATAACTATGCTTCTTCCTTTAATCATTTTAAAAGTAATTTGAAACTAACCATGAGTTTATCATTTTCCCCACAAACACAAGCACCATACATTTTAGTAAAGGAAAGAGTTGTGATTTCTTATCTTCATTGCCCACCATACAAACGCATTGTCTTGGCATTGTTTCTTTCACAACCTTTTATCTAATTTCCATTTCCTTCCCGCTAATGGCATTTTCTCCCACACCATCACTATCTTCCTTTCCAGTTAGAATATGGCGGCTGCAAACTGCTTCAAGCATGGAACGATACTTCCCGTCTCCGCGAATCTCCGGCACAAGCAGCCACCGCGTCGAAGCAGCTTCATCGGAAACAATGAGCTGAAGGGAAACAGAAGCATGGTGCTAATGGTGGGATTGTGTGGGGGACATGGAAGTGGTAAGGCATCCAAAAGGGCTGGAATGATACGGTGTGGGAGAGGGATAGAGGACTTCATAGGAGGAGACTTGGTGAGATTTGACCTTGGCCGTTGGCTTTCTGACGTTGAAGAACACAAGGCCCTTGCTGTCTACTCTCCCCATGAAGGAGGTTACGAGGGGCGGTATCTTAACCGCCTCACGTACCAGGGCTACTATTTTCTGGACCTTAGTGCGCGAGGCCTTGGTGATCCTGAGACCACCCTCACGAAGGTCCACCCTGTTTGTCCGGTATGTTATGTTATCAGATTGTTACTCGTCATGTTCATGTCAAAGTGTAGAGGCCATTTTCTTGTCTTCTTCTTACTCAAATGGTTATTTTTGGAAAGTAGCCTCATCTAGGGAAGCAGCCCATATCAAGATGGTACTTTCCACCGGAGGTCGATTACAGGCTCGCCGCTCTGCCTCCAAAGGCCAAAGGCCTTGTAGTCTGGATCATTGAAGCCAAGGTATTTACTCTTGTAGACAAAACCAGAGTGCGAAAATCATTTTCCGTAGCAACATAGGAACTCAATCACATTAATGTTGTCCCGTGTATTTCAGGTTCTGTCGAAGGCGGAATTGCAGTTTCTTGCTCTACTTCCCACCCTCCGTCCCAAAGTCAGGGTAATCGCGGAGTGCGGAAACTGGTAATGCCAAATTTATTTTTTTCATGCAATTTTAGGTGTTCATGCGTACTTTCATAGCATAGATCATTCTTATGATTATGTCAAAAAAACCGATATATTGGCAGGAGGAAATTTGTGTGGAAGCCACTCAAAGAAATTTCAGGACTAACTACTAATGAGGTATGAGAATAATAGCAAAGATAAACGATGAATTCAAGTCACTCTCATCCTGCACTTTCCGTTGTTTAGCAGTGCTGCGCTTTGTTTATTCAATATTCATGGAACAAGTACGCTAGAGTTCTCACTATTTCCGTTGTTTAGCGGTGCTGCATTTTTACCGATCACATGTCAAAGTGTACATAATTGTTTCATCGAAACATTGTAATCAATCCGCTTTCATCCGACAGACAATTTCGAGTCCCATGTCATCAGTGTATTGCATGACATGAACCAAACAAGCATCTGTGTTGCATTGCTCTGATGATGAACAACTATGTTTCCCAAGGATCAACGAATCATGTACATGTATGGTAAGATTGCGTAATTACGATATATTTGACAAAAAATATACAGCAACGCTCATACCAATGCTAACAATAATACGATACTACTTCTTGCTGGAGTTAACCTACTTCACAATACACTATACATAGAATTGAAAGTGCTCAACTTCGTTGTCCTCTGAGTTATCTGTCTCTCATTTTTTCCCAAAAAGGAAAATCGAGGATGCTTCGAACTGTACGAGTCAGAATCTAAATTATCCTCTTCCCTCGTTCTTCCCGTGTCTAAATCAACTAGCCTTGATGACGAACGAGTAGGCAACTCGGCAGATAGACCAACAGATTCTGGAATGTCAAGACTGTCACTCATGGATGGGCCCTTGTTTGCATGATTGATATCAACTCTGTCGATTTGTTATATAAATTTGAATGACTAAATGATTTCCGATTGAAATGGTTTTTGTAAGAGTGATATTCAAATAAAATTTAAGAAATTTTGAGCATGTCCGATTATGAAATTTACGCGGTAAGATACGTTATTTACAGAGAGAGAATACAAATATTATCCAACTGTAAAAAGGAGAGTTAAAAAGAATTGAAGGGGAGGAGTTAAATTTTGAGCTGACTGACTCCAATTAATAGAGAAAACCCAAGACAAAATAGTTTGGTCTGTTTTTCTTTTCAGAGTAGTATTTTCTCCCCTTTTATTATCATCTTCTTCCTCCTCTGCTCTCACACTTTTTTTTCTGTTTGTTTTTTTTTTCTCTATATAAAAAATTCAAAGCAAGTTATTGTCGTAGCTTAATCGCAACCATTTAAATGGGAAGGAAGAAAAGATGAGGGAGATTAGAAGGTGAGAGAATCCTACTCGTTTTCTTTCTGTGTATTGGTGTAGTTCAAGAGAGTGGAAGTGGTAGTGTGGTGGAGGAGGTGTAGTTCAAGAGAGTGGAAGTGGCAGTGTGGTGGAGGAGGTGCAGATATAAGTAGCATAAGTATATGATCGGTATGCATATAAGTTTATTCGATTAAACAAAAACTGGCTTTTTGCGCAACTTTTTTCTCACACAGCAAAAAACTTAGTCCCAGTAATGTATAGAGGAGCTAGATAATACATGCTCCCTACCGGCACCGGCATAAGTCCTACCAGAAAACTTCTGCACCCTCCAAATGTTGCCAATTACTCAATTATTCTACATAAGCATTTAGAAGAACTGCATGCTTAAAATCAGTACTAGACATCGTCTTAATATTCTTCAAGTTTGCTCTTCGAAGATCAGCCGCCTTCAAATTTGCATTTGTAAGATCGAAATCATGCTGTTGTGTTGCACCGACCATTGATAGAGTTTTCTAGAAAAATCCTGTTATAGAATCTTCTACAATAATTTCATGCATGTTTGAACTAGAACAATCTAGTTCCTTTATACGGACTGATCTTAATGAGCTAGTGTTGATTTTAACCGTTCATGCTTGCTTTGTAAAATCTACAATTTATTAAACGAGGAAAGCGTACGTCGCGGAGATTTGCATCAGCCAGTTGTGCAGAGACCATGCTAGCCGCTTCAAGGTTTGTAAAAGCTACAATTTATCAAACATGCATCTTTTAACTTTGCAAGATCAAGGTTGGCACGTCAACAAATAATGCATTGCGGAGATTTGCCCCGATAAATGAAGAATTTTGCAAACTAGCGTTTTCAAAGACGGCTCCCTCAGCACCCACGTAATTGAAATATGCACCTCGGAGATCACAGCCCAAGAAACGGACATTTGTCAAACACGCATAACTGAAGTCAGCGTTTGTGAAGTTCAATCTAGAAAGGTTAAGGCCGGAGAGGTTAACACCTTGAAGCCCAATTTTTCCACTTGATTGTATACATGACTTGATGATGATATCAGTACGCATTAATTCTGCATCCAACTTTTCAGTGTGTAAATCGTCCTCCTTCCTCTTGTCTAGAAATGCATGTATTCCTTCTCTTAAACCAAGTAACTGATAGTAATCTGCCTCTCTTAGAAGCTCTGAATATTTGGAATCATCATCAAATGAGGGAAGAACTCCATCCCTCAACCAATTCACGATGTGCCGAAAATGTGTGCCATCCCTATCAGTGAAAACATATCCCTTTTCAGGGTCTTGATGCACAACATGGCGTTCACCAAACATTACAAGCAGCATTGAACTAGGCTCATGCCGAGTTAGAGTGCCAACCGTAGTACAACATTTGTTTCCTCCGATATTGAGATGAACCATAGAAGAGATATTAAGGTCCTCCATTTTCTTTGAAAATCTCTGAGAACAGAAGCATACGCTTCTGTTTTTATCTGTCGCGCTCCCTTATGTAAGCGGAGTAGGCACAAATTGTCACAAGTTATGTATTTATAAAGTCATAAATTACTAAACATGCTTATCTAGGCACACTTGGATGGATTCATGCATATGCTGGAGAGATTTCAGTGTGACCGGCACACGGAATAGTACATCACGTATCACTATATAAATGGTGGAATATACATGTTAAAAAGTTAATAATTTAAAAAATAAAATTTCCCACCACTTACATAAAACATGTGGTGTACCATCTGTGTTCCCGTCACAATAAAAAATTTCTCCATACATTGATTCAAACGTTAACATTTTCAATTGTGCTTAATTAAGCAATTGATTTAAGGCTGATTAACTGCGACACATTTTATAAGACAATTGATTTAAAGGAAAACTAATGAAATGGCTTGAAAACTTTGAGTTTTATCGATAAGGACAAAATAAAGGGTAAAGTGAATAGTACCATGATTGATTTTTTAGTGTAAAAATATGATTTTTCATTAAAGTGAACAGTACCGGAAGCTTTTCGTTAAAGTTCTCTTGATTTAATGATGAATCTTATATCATTAATTTGTGAGAATTATATCAACCTCGGTATAATTTAGGGCCCTTTTTCCGAGTTAGTTTTCGGCTATTCATTTTAAATGGACCCCCGAAAACTGATTCGATTAGGGTTAGAAACATGATTACCATGAAGAAAGTTGGGGTTTGATCATAAAATTAATGGCAATATGGGTATTAGCCCAATTACTTATAAGAATTTCTGTCAAAATAAAAAGCCTACACGGATGCCCCTTTTAAGCATGTGCGTATCACCGAATCTGGTCTAGAGTTAGAGTTATGTGTGGACAAGAAATCGGAGATGTCCAAAACATCTTTTGAATTGATGGAATAGAAGACCATAGCTATTTTAAATTGATGGGAGATAGAAGAAAAACGAACTCCTCATGAAATTTCAATATATAGTTACACGCGCTGTACAAATAAACAAGCCTAATTGGAACCACCAAGTGAACAGAGTTGATTTATAGAATTAGAATAGTATTATATGTACAACATCGGCGGACCATGATAATAATTTATGTGAGAGTACCTGTATAACCTTCAAAGATGTTACCACAAGTGTATGTATGTGATGAACATAGATTTGAATTTATATAGTTGGTTATGGATTTAATATAAGGAAGACCTAATGGTGGAGAAGAACGTCTCTACAACAAAGATCACTCTTGGGTGAGACATTGAAAAAAAAACCTGTAAAATTTAGTTTGTGTGAATTTACTTTACTACCCTTTTTTTTTTTTTTGTGGTAGAAGACAAAGTTGTCTTTTTATCCTCTTTGTCAACAATGCTATTATTTTTCAAAATTAAAGGATATAAGGATCACCCTTGGGTGAGGCTCTTAAAAAAAAAACTGTAAAATTTAGTTTATGTGAATTTACTTTATTGTCCATAATTTTGTTTTGTGATAGAAGACAAAATTATCTTTTCACCATTTTATGATTGACAAAAATGGTTTTATTAATGTAGTTTTCTTTCAAAATTAGAGGATGTTAGGTGAGGCTTTGAAAAAACCTGTAAAATTTAGTTTGTGTGAATTTACTTGACTACCCATGATTTTGTTTTGTGGTAGAAGATAAAATTGTCTCTTTACCTTTTTTTCGTTGACAAAGAGGGTTTTATTAATGTAGTTTAGATTATATTAGCTTGCTTTAAACATGGTTAGATAGTTTAACCATATTGAGTGATACTAACTTAGCCATGGCTTGATAGTTCAACCATAGTCAAGCTTTATTTGCCAACTAGATAAGATTTGTGTAAACCTAGTACTTACACGTCAGTAATCACTATACATTTGAGCATTGTGCCAAGGTTATAGATAACCAACAAACAAAAGATTTCCGCAGTATGGGCATTTATCATGGAGCTCCTCCAGTTTGATATTGATATAATGGCAATCTCTCTTGCTTTGCTTGGATTTGTAACACTGCTTGCCCATCTCTACAGTGGACTTGTGATGAAGCCAAGAAGGCTGAGGTCACAACTGACCAACCAAGGCATCAGCGGTCCTCCACCTCGGTTTTTTTTTGGGACATATCATGCAGATCGACAAGGCCTGTTCCAGCTCCGGCGGCACCGACAAGGCTCCCACCATGGAAGCCTCCACCTTGCATAACAATGCAGCTATACTCTTTCCCATTTTTGAGCAGTGGAGGAAGCAATATGGTAAATACACAGCTTACTTTAGTGTACTTACTATTGTTCTTACTTTAGTACACTTTCTATTGTTCATGCTTTAATTTACTAGCCTCATCATTTTTATTTAGTAAATGAGCCCATTCCCGGCTTAATGCAAGAAGTTGCTTCATGATATATTATATGTCACATTAGTTGACAATCCGATGAGATCATTAATAACCCAAAAGTAAGAAATAAGAACTGATTTCTTCAGTATTTTTTCCCTCCGTGTCATGAAAATCCGATGGCATCGTTGATTATCCGGCGAGGCGGAGATGATGTTGTAGCAATTTATGGCCTAATTTGCAATTTTTTCCAACCCACTAAAATGAAGTAGTAATATTTATGTACAGGTGAAGTATTTTCGTTTTCACTTGGGAACACACCGATATTGCATGTGAACAAACACGAGGTGGTGAAGAAGATGGTAACATGTACATCCTGGG